GCCACTTCCCACACAAAGTCGGTCTCTTTATTGAGCGTCATCAGTCTGAAAATTGTCCAAATCCAGAGACTGCGTTGTCATCGGAAAGAAATGTTATGTCTTACTTCCTCTTACTTTGTTACCACAAGCGGTCGCGCAGCATCCCGCTAGTTCTTATTATGCAGCGTAGTTTACTTGTATCCAACCGGAGCTAAGTGCACCCCCATCGGCGAAAAGAAAGACAGGTTGTTACCAGGGGGTTCTTGCACGTGTTCTTCGTGTACACAAAGACCATACATGCCGGAATAAATTAGTTACGCGTACTCGGCGTGCTCTGCATCAAAAGTATATACTTGCGCGTCCCATGGCGCGCCCATGCGGTCTGAGATCAATTGGCGAGTACCAAAAAGACATTTTCTTTTGTTGCGCTCGGAGCGGATAGTGATCACATTTTGAGCGTTGTTTCATTGGTTATTTCTGAGGTATGCTTATTTTCAGAAGTGCTGACATATCGGGGAAAACACATCATAGGCACATCATCCATTATAATTGAATGCTTTGAGGACTCCCCGCTGTTAATTCGTTGATGAATCTGCGCATACCTTATGTGGGTATTTAGCTTACCTTTCCTTCTGTTTTGTCCCGAAAACGCGTACGCGCAATCAAACGTGCTTCGACAGAAAGATTAAGCAATCTTCGTTTAATGTCCAAGGATTAAGTCACACCGATGCCCACCTCCAGAGTACACACCAGCCACCATACAGCACCGCCTACAACCCTTTGTCAGAAAGATTACCCCTGATTACTTCCGGACCTCACAAGGTCAACTGTATTTCATCAGGGAATAATAAAACAACCCAATGCTTGTACCGTGATGAAATTATTTCCCATACAATAGGTCATTCTGCGCCACAGTTTTTACCCTAGGGTGATACTCCTATCCCTTACAAAAGGTCAACCTGTGCCATAATTTTTACCGAAACGTCTTCTTTAGGCCTATTCACACATTTCCATTGGTTTTGCAATCCGTCCCTTAGAAAAAGTCAACCTCTACCAGACTTTATGACTTATATGATATTCATTTTCATCCATACAACTGGCTCCATAGCCAACCTGTGCCGTAATTATTCACCGTACACCTCATTTCTATTCATATCATTATGATCACATTATTATTTTTTTAAATATTCATGTGACCTTTTCATATTCTGTAGCAAAGGTCAAAGTATACCAGACAGTCCCCTACCACCACTCAACGGTGCAGACCAATAATTCAAGTGAGATTATTTCTGGCCAGCTCATTAGCATTAAAAGTGCCCCCACAGTATCTTTTGAAAAAGGAGATTGTTTGGGCCCAAAAATGGTGAGATTGTGCAGGTCTTTGCCAGGATGAAGTCCCTGGGTCTTTGAGCTTTCAAAGAGCAGAATGGCTAAAAACTACGGTTGAAAAATGGTCGTAAGTGCCCGAAAAGTTGAAAGTTGCCACTTAAAAAAATGGCTGAAATCGGACTTCGGAAAAATCACTTTTTAGGGAGTGATTTGGTTTTGTGGGAATAATTAAAAATGTAATTGGTTAAACCACCAAAAATTGAAAAGAAGTTGAAAGATAAGTGACCAGACAAGAATTTAATTTGGGTTTCAGAAATCTCAGGGATGTTGGCGTGCATGCTATTGGGCCCTGAAGAGTGCTGATTTTACACTGTTTTCAATGGGGCTTGAATTAGTGGACTGTACCCTCAAGTTGCACTCGGAGGACGCAAGTTAGACCACATGATATTCATGTATATGTAGGAAGCAGACGTCAATGACGATGCAATTCTTGTCTCCTAACAAAAGGGGCCTCTTGGGCCTCCTAACAAAGCACTAGTGTAAGCTGTTCCGGGGAGATTATTAAAGATTAAAAAAGTGAAAAATCGAAAACAGTTTTTGTATCCATTTTTCTGATTTATCACTGTGAATTTTCTGGTGTTTTCAATATTCACTGCCACTTTTATTCATCGTTTGTCGACGCTAACTTTTTAAAAACTAACGCAGACGAGAGCGAAGTGTTTTACATAGACTTCCAAACATCCCAACGCAGCCTAAAATTTATATTCAAACCATCGACATCTTAACTTTAAGACGTCTTCCAAATCGAGTACATGTAAAATCTGTCTAGTGTAAAAAAAAAACAAAAAAACAAAAAAAACAAAAACAAAATCCAGATGTCGGCCAAACCAGTGGCGTACTTTGGGTTCAGGGGTGGAAATATTTCCGTCCATGAAATAATCGTCATTCTAAACCATTTAAAGTGCTGGGACTTTCAATTTATGAAAGCAGTCGGCGGCTTGCCCCCACCCCACCCCTTCCTTCTCTGGTCAAAGCCAGTGACACCTTCCCACAATGCCATCAAAACTACATCAAGCTGGCAATCAATGCCTAAACAGAGATACTGACAAACTACAAACTCGGCGGGGAATTTGAGAGTCTTAGTAATAAGCTGTTACTAAGTCTTAGCTTTGAAGAATCTAAAGAGATTTATAGACTTGAGAAACGTTTGAAATAGCAACTTAGGGAGTACCTCGAGTAACTCCAGCCCACGACATCGGGAAAATTGGGAATGTCCCAATGTCATGAGCATTACAGCTAGCTAGATACTCAAACTACTTAAAAAGTTGAAGTTGCCCCCAGAGGATATAAACTAAATTTCAATGTCAACCCGTTTTTTGTACAAAACCACGAACACGTAAGAGTTGTGTAAATAAACTAGTTTGTTCATGCGCTTTATTTCAGGAATGTAATTGGTTGATTTGGGTTTTCCTAAATTTGTTATTTATAGGGAGTAATATAATGACGGTTTCTTCTATGAGCGTCCCCAGAAAGCTTAAAGGAACCAGGAAACGGATTTTTCTTAGAATCACTTTTTGTGTATCTTTGTACTCTTCTTCCGTGTATGAAGACTGTTTGATACCTTTTTTGAGTTATCTGAACGGAACGGTGCACTTTTGAAGCATTAAATATTGATCAAGAATTTCTGGGCGAGGGCACTTTTGCTTTGATGTAAATCCAGAAAGATGTGGTTCAGGTTGCATGTTTTCATGTGTAAAATTATGAACCCTAAATTTGCTGAGAACATTTCTGTGAAAAGGATTTTTGCTACTTGCATATTCATGACAGCACATGATGTTCTGCTCATGAATATGCAAGTAGCATTAGCATAAAACAAAAAGCATCAAAATATGGGTTAAATTGCAAAACAAAAATTCATAAATATTCTTGAGCAAATCGGTGCGCGTCATTGGCCGATTCCACCTCACGTCTGGGAAGTAGAAATGATTCGCGACGTCATAGCGGTGAGTATCCGCGTCGCTGCCGTGCGGTCAAAAAATCCCTCTGGAACCAAGTCATGGCATGTAATCTTGACGGAACAATTCAGGACTTGTATCCTAATAACTATTACAGAAAAGAACCAAAACGTGTGTCAGCACCAGACTATTCAAGCCTTATTTCTAAGCACATCTGCACTCCACTGTCAGTGTCATTGCATGAAAATTTAGCAGTTGAGAAACAACAATGGCGTCTGTTAGTACAAGTAACGTGAGATTTCTGGTTGGATATTTATAAATTGTAGTAAAACAAATACAGCATGGTTTATTTCGGGAAAATAGTGGGAATTACTAGGCCTACTTTCCCTCAAACCATGCTGTATTTGAATAATACAAAATTTTATTTCAAATAAAATATAAAAACACACTAACACAGTTGCTTTATGGCATTTCAGACTTTGTTCTCGTGTACCAAATTTATACAAATGAAATCTTTTGCCTGTAGTAAAAAGCTGATCAAAGTTCGAATTGTTTTGTACTGAAAATGTTAAGACGAAACGTCAATCGGACCGCCATGCAAATTAGCTAAAACATATGTGTAACTGTGTTTCAAAATCGTACTGAAATTGTGAAAAAGTGGGGGTCACAGTGGTCACATATATTTTTGTTTTCTGCCGATTCTGATACAGAAAATACTGATTTCTTACATCCACTTCCATGTAAACAGTATAACATCCACGTGTAGGTGGGAAAGTTTAAGACGCACAAACAGTGAGCGTCGTTGGCTCTGGAACAGCCACACGTTCTGATTCAGAACAGAATCTGCTTGCCCTGACGAAGATACTCATTACCGAAAGCTCGGCAATATGATAAATTACGAACGCTTTTGTGTCAATTTTCTGATCACGGTGTGCTACGCAGCCTTTCATATTCCTATGGTCAAGAAGCAAAGTGTCTCTTTCCATACCTACAATCCTGTAGGCCAAAATTGTTGGGACACGTGTCAAAAGCCACATCCTCCCCAGGTCCACCACTCCCCCGGTCAATATTGTCATCTTACGCTTGAGCGCAGACTGCACACTGAGAACCCACATCAAAAGGGGTGTACAAGGTAGGGGACCCAACGAGATTCAGCCAGGATTGTAGCTGTGAGGGTGCATTGCTTGACTCCGTGGAAAAGAGGTTGATCCCTGCGCACTGTTGGAAGACACGAGGTTGCGTTGTGAGAAGCACTCAAACGAAGGCGGGGCTTCAAAACTTGAAGTCCAGAGGTCTAGGGCCCTTTTCCAATACTCGCTCCGTCTCAGGTTTCATTCCTAAAACCAATCCCCGATTGTGGACCTGAAGCGTTTAAATTAAATTGGACTACTGTAATTTCTGGCTCTCTTGCATCTTATTTGATGTTTTGTGGCACTATTTAACTAATTACTGCGCCGCAGCTTCAACGTCAGATAGTTAAAAAACAGTTGAAGCCTCAGACGGAGTATTGGAAAACGGCCCAGGTCTTCACTCCATTGGAACATATGCAGCAAGGTATGAGACAGAGAGAACCCCCCTGCTTTGTGTTGGTCATNTATACATTGGAAATACGTGGAGGCGCGTAGACAGTAGACCTATACTATAGCCGTAGCTCTGGAAGCCCGTTTCGGACACGGCCTTCAAATGTCAGGGTATCATTAGGTCAGGGAGCCAGACTGCACTCTTTTGACCAATCCCAGTTGTCCACGTCCCACGTGCTATAGACAGAGAACCAATTCTGTCAGATTATCAGGAATGAAACAAGCTCCTGAAGCGGCTAAACGTGAGGAAGCAACATATTTCATCATTGTCGGAGCATGTTTTATCGAAGCTGGACCCTTTCCGTTTAGTGGACGAGTGGTAACGCTGCGAAGGGTTCCTTCCATTGAATTGTACACTTGCACATTTCTTGACATCATCGATCTTTGTCTTTGAACAACACAGGATTTAGAATGGCAAAACAAAACGGTGGTTTAGCAGTCAATCTCTTTGCTTTGATTGTATTCTTCGGAACATTCACAGAGGCCGTTGGATGTGAAAGTAGGCGTGACTCAGTGCAGAAAATGGTTTTATATACTGCGGAAAATCGAGCCTTGAGAGGGGTTGCATCTACAAAGAAAAAGGTGCAATCTGGCGTCATCTGTGGAAGAGAATGTAACATGGATAAACATTGCAAGTCAATCAACTTCGATGAATCTAATGACCTGTGCGAAATGAGCAATGCAACCAGACAAGAATTAGGAGAAGACTTATCAGTAAAGCCAGGCAGCGTATACTTTGATGCAAACGAGAACACACCTAGCTTCTCCTTGCCTCCTCCTACAAGTTGCACAAAGTGGATGGAGTTGGGCTATGATAACAGCGGCGTGTATGCAATCTACCCAGAAGGACTGAACAGCAATGGCATACAAGTCTACTGTGACATGGAAACTGATGGTGGAGGATGGATCGTGTTTCAGAGGAGACAAGACGGCAGTGTGGACTTTTACCGAAATTCATCTGAGTATAATTCTGGCTTCGGTAATCTGTCTGGAGAGTTCTGGCTTGGTAATGACAATCTGATTAGTTTGACTTCGCATGGGTCGTGGGTGCTACGGGTAGACCTAGAGGACTGGGAAAACAACACAGCTTGGGCAAGGTACGAACATTTTCTTATTCCACCACACTCGGGATCTCGGTTAGAAACGAGGGACTTTAACAGCAGCAGTACTGCTTTTGACGCTCTGACATTTAACAAGTATTGGGCATTTACAACTAAGGATAATGACCATGATTCAGAAACCGACTACAATTGTGCTGTGGTCACAGAGGGAGCGTGGTGGTTCGATGAGTGTGAGTACGTCGATACCGCCAAATTGAACGGCAGATATTACTACGTGCAACCTAGCTCTACGCAGCACGGTATTCGATGGTACGGTTGGCATTATGATGTTTCTCTGAAAGGTTGCAGCATGAAAATACGCCAGCGTAAGTTCTAAGGTCGGTTTATGGCGAGGACGAACAATAGGCTGATGTAAGTGTGTGGTGAAACGTTTGCCTTGACTGTACATAAAAGTGGCTTAATAATTTTGAGACAAGTCAGTACTGACCAGCCTGGCCAGAAGGGGGGCAAATTGCCCTCCCTGGAAATTTTGCCTAATAAATAATGTTGCTCAATCTTATTGTCGAACGGTCCTGTATATTAGCAGTCCTCATGGAAAAGAAAACTCAATCCAAAGATTCTCCAAACTGGAACCTCTGTTACAGGCAGAGGAAGGTTGCGACAAAGGGCAAAATTGGGCACGGACTACAGTTCGATTAGTCTATTTGCGCAAGCGCAATGCAATCACACTCACAAGAATTTTTCCAATATTTTATCCTTTCCCACATTTCGCCGTTTGTGCAACCTTTCCGGCATAACAGTTCAAAATAACATTCAAGTTTGAATGGTCCACCGTTCATTGTGTCATGAAAAGACAGTGATATTTTTGCAGCATTATAAATCTTTCTTTTCGCCATGCGGGCAAAAAAAAATGTTGCACTCAAAGACAAAGTTAATTGACAAAAAAATGTATAAAGATAAGTAAGATTTAAGCTGTCTATTTGACTGTTATGAAAGTTATAACAATCGTCTAAAGTGTATTCAATGGTCTTTCATTATCATGTGAACAAAAACGAAACGTTATGTTGTTTTAATATCATATTGCAGGCCGAACAGTTTGATGCGTTTGAACTCAATTCGTTAATCAATAAAAGGCGTGTACATCATCACTTGATTGCTGTATGAAAAAAAAAGATTTATGAGTGTAGCACCTGGTGTATAATATTTGAATCCTTATGTTAAGCTTGGAGAGCTGATTAAATATCACCAATTTCAAAATTTCAATCGAAAAACTTCATTTTTTACGGGGTTAAAGTAGGCCTACACATTAAGCTTTCAGTTATTAGGAAAAGAATCTTTCCATTAGTTATTATGTAAACCTTCTCAAAATATATAGAAACAGAGGCAGTCATCCCAATGCAAAATGGACAAGTTGATGAGCAGTCCACGTATACCTTCTTTTTCTGCAAACACTTTGCAAACACTGCAAACACTCTATAGTACATTAGTTTAATGAATCCAACCGTTGTTATTAACGAATTTTGTGCATCCTCGGAACCTGAACTTAAAGGATCATTTTATACAAATAAAAGTATATATGCAAAAACTAGTAAGAATAACATTTCATAAGGTGAAATATAAAATTAAACATCGATCTGTCACCGAATGAAATCATTCTTCCCACTGCATAGTTGCTTTATATAACGCCTGAATAAATCTTTTGTACACTTTGTGTACAACTTATCGTTTGCTTCAGTTCGATGCAAAATGCGACACGAAATTTTCAATATAGTTCATGCTTAAATGGGCGTTCATGTGTGTCTTACAGTTTGTTGTTTTATAACCTAATAAGTTATTCAGAAGAAGTCATAACTTACGAGTTCAGATATTTCCTCATTTTGACAGAAGACGGAATTTAACGGTGTTTCATGATTATTGATATCACCGAGATTTTGTGATAGCGCAAAGAGCCGCGACTATGTCTTCTGCTTGCGCAGACGCATCTACAACGGCATCTTCGACGGATGTACTCAGTGCCTTCCATTACAATGAATGACACGTGACCAACGACGCACAAATTAACAGATTTATTCAGGTATTATATAATACGCTAAATCGTTTTGCGTTGAAGATCACGATCCTCAACTGAGACACGTCTAAGTAGTATCCCCAGGTTATTCCAGATGTTCACAGCAGCATGGTATTACTATCTTGCACGAAGAATCAATAATCGATATTTCACCTTTAACTGAGTTCTACAATAAAAAAATATGTTCTGATGATCCATGACGTTGAATAAACTGAGTGATAAGAACATATAACAAGTTGCTTGTATTTTTTTGTTAGGGGAGGACGGGTTTTATTCTCAGGGAAGCGTGTGTACGAGTCACGGTCGCATCACCACCAACAAAAATGAACACTCTCGACCAACGCGGCTCTTTTCAACCGATGAGGGGGCGCTTCTGCTCGAGGCGGATACATCCCAGGGAAATTAGGGTGATTGCAATAAAAACCAAATCGCTCGGCATGGCAAACGAAGGGGTGTTTATTTATCTTTTATTTGTAAAAGATGGAACGGGGTGAGGTAAGGCCGGAAATGAATGGAACAAGTATTTTTTTTTATAGTTTCAAGAGCTATTCTTCACTCAAATTTGTTGGCTTAGCTGCATACATTTTCTCATCTCAACACTACTGAAGAAGGCCTATTAAAGGTCAACTTCCGACAAATCTTAGGATATGCATTTCATATATTTCCTTACGCGCCCCTTAATCCAAGGCCTGCGTGTTTGATAAGTTGTAAACTCCCTTTCGTCGATCAAAGTGGAATTGCGTTTTTTAAAATCTTGGCATGTGCATGTACACAATGCAATGCATTACACGCCGAGTTAAGAATTAAGTAACAGACCCAGAAATATTATGTGTTTTCTCAAAATGTAAAACAAAAAAAGCATGCACATATAGGCCTACATCTACACTGATAATAGATGGCATGGTGGCTTTGACGGTAGGTTTCAGAAGAATCCTTATGTTCCATTCTCTCGGACATGGCGGTTTCAGCGATAACAGAAGATCAAAGTGAAGGTTCACCACAAACCCGTTTACATAGGGTAAAATGTTGCATTGGTATAATTAGGAATCATCCAGTGACGTAACTAGGGTTTATTAGGGGGAGGGGGCACGTGGGGCCTTCATTTTCTGTAGGGGGCACTCAGTGGGTGCTGTCACAATTAAAACACTAACCAAGGCGGACTGTCTCCAAATTTTTCTTCTCTAATCGGGGGGGGTTACAGGTGGGGACTTTCCAATGTCCCCTCGGTTGCGCCACCGCCGTATTTTGACGTGATAAAAACATTACAGATTTTTATAACAACGGATAGTGCGCAACATTATTGAGTGCATGGGTATTAGTTTGGTTTTGACATAGTGCGCCTTCAAGAGTTTGCAACTTACGCATTGGCCAACCACAATGCGAGAAATCTGTCGACCCAATTAGTCTGGATACCAGACCTAAGATTCTTGCCACTCTACAAATCAATATACCCAGCAAAAAAAGAAACCGAGGGGTACCCCATCGACATGTCCAATCCCTATACACATTCCAGACTATTGTTACTTAACACATCCCCCAAGATGTCTGAAAGGAATTCCCCAGATTCCTGCGAGACAATGACCAACACCGTCTCATACCTTGCTGCATATGCAAATCAAGGGGCTGGTCAACATCGTTCTCATGGGAACGATCCCTTGCTGCGCCATGCTGGTTCCCACCATGCCTTGCGCGATCTAAGCCCTGGTGTTGTATAATTTAAATATCCTACCTCTTTGGGATATTTATTTAGGACTTTAGCGTGTTTACGAGCGACGCAGATTTATGCGTGCGTGTATATTGAACGAAGTTGGTGCGGTATCACCCAATGTCCACGTGACCAAGACCGGAGGAATTCCTCTAGTTTTCCTCTAGTTGCTGAAAATAGACGGGAGTCTAAATTCGGCATGTTTGCATAGTAGCGTTGATGTTCGGTTATTACCGGTAGGGTAAGTAGGGTAGCTGTTAAACGTAAACTCCCGTGTCCTAATGGCAGCTGTTGATCCTGCAATATTTGACTTTATAACTGAATTCGAAGGTCACCTTGGCCGAAATGCCAGGCGAAAATGCAGCATATAACCTTTTTAAAGACCAATCTAAGCGGGATTTTTAGTGCTCTATAAAAAGACGTGAGTTTTCCCATACGCACGAGATCTGTACGTGGACACAAGTGCCCGCGAACGCGCACAACCGTGCATTACCATGGAGGGTGTTCCTTCCTCCATGGCATTACAAACCCACAGATTTCCACAGCTACCTGCAGTACCAATCACAGACGGTGCCTTCAACGCCGTATTTTCAATCCCGCGCGAAACGGCTCTGCCCACCGGGGCCAAGCAACGTGATCGCATCCCCATCGTAATCACATACCACCCTCGAAACACCCTGGCACGTTATGTTCTTCTCAAACATTTTCGTACACTCGGAAATGATGTGGCCGCAGATTCCATTTTCACTGAGCCCCCGATTTGCCCGTTCGATTTGCGATCGTTCTGTCGGGGACATGGTTGTACGTTCCCGGTTAGATTCTGTCTCGCTGCCACGAGTAGGCAGCAATTCCCCTTGTCAGCGCCCCAGATGTAACAGCTGCCCTACATAGTTAACAGCCCTTTGGTCGTCGGCCCCCGCGGTAGCTACAGAATACGCGGGGATCACATGCATTGGGTGCGTTCGATTAGTTTACACGTGTAAGTCAAACTTACACGAGAGGATTGTAGGTCAACTCGCCCCCTGGCCGACTCGCCCCTTACCAGCTCGCTCCTTACCAACTCGCCCCCTGACCGATTGACCCAGCCGACTCGCCCCTTACCAACTTGCCCCCC